AATCCTGAAGACTACTCGTGCCTACTGACAACTACCTACCCGTGAAGTGCATGGGAACTTCCTATGTACTACCGGGTGTGCCTCCTGACTCGGGCCAGCAGTCCAGGAGGCTGCCCTTGCCAATGCCGAAGGAAGGCAGGGGCTGCAGCTGCAGCTCCTGCTCGAGCTGGCGTGGGGAACAGGCCAGAAATAGCCTGTTCCGAAACCCAGTTTTCGTGCCTGAGTCTTAGGGCAGGTCGAAACAAATGAGGGCCTGAAAAGGGCCCTCTGTTTCAGGCTGGAAAGCCTCTGGGCCTGAAAGGCCCAGAAATAGGCTGAAAACGCAGTAGGGCCTGCAGGCCCTCGTTTTTCAGCTTTCAGGCTGAAACGACCGGGGCCTGTAAGCCCTAAGTTTTAGGCTTTTAGGCTGAAAGTGCGGGACGGGCCCTGCAGGGCCCGTGTGGCTACGCAGTATGCCACACTCAGACTCACAGCGCACAAGTGCGCTGAGTCAATGTGAATGGCCTAGCAAATGCTGATGACCTGAAACTGCATGTGCTGTGCGGCATGCTTGAAGGGGTAGGTGGAAAGGAGTGAAGGGACATAATCTGCATCAAGAGACACATTTGACGGACAGTTCCCGTCACTGTAAACGAGAAAAGGTGTCATGGGCCCACGAAAGCCTCTTTTTCTTTTCCAATGATATAATGGGCCCAGTGCCCAAGGGTGGACAAATGAGCTGTGGATAGGCCGCTTGTGCTGAGGTGGTGGGATGGGTAGCAAGTAAGGTTCAAGCAAGATAGAATCTAGCTTTGGTCAAAGTCTCGGTCCTGATGCTACCGTCTGAACCCTGGCCGGTATCGCCCACCTGCTGGTGGGTGCAGCTCCCACATGTTCCCTCGTTGGAGGCTTGAGCACGGATGTGGCTGCTACAGGGTTCCCAGTAATACTATAATGCCAAGAAAATAACGGCCTGAAAGGCCATCCTGTCCAGATTCGACAGGTAATTGAATTGGTTGGGCTTAAGGAATTGGCCTTAAAAAAAAAAAAAAAAAGAGGAAGAAAAGTTAGGCTTCTGCTTTACAGAGTTGAGAAGGCAATTTTCATTAGCGGGCCTACCTTAGTTGGTACACCCATGAACTATTACAATACAAACCTGACTTCAAGTGCAAGTGTGTGTGTGTGTGTGTGTGTGTGTGTGTGTGTGTGTGTGTGTGTGTGTGTGTGTGAGAGAGAGAGAGAGAGAGAGAGAGAGATAGAGAGAGAGAGAGAGAGAGAGAGAGAGAGAGAGAGAGTACAGCAGTTGGTTAGAGCGTGTCGGGTTCTCAACCCCGGCGTGTTGAAAAAAAAAAAAAAAAAAGGTAGAGAGAGAGTTTTCCAGCCATGCATGCAGAGAGGGGAGTGGCTGTTTCCATCAATAGGATGAGCAAAATCGGAATGAATCTTCCACTAGAACATGGAAATATACACTGCATTCCAGCCATGCGCGCGGAGAGATAGAGAGAGGCTAGTTCGATCTACAGGATGAGCAAAATTGGAATGAATCTTGGAGCAGAACATGGAAATATACACTGCCACTTTCTTTTTTTTTGTTTGTGTGTGTGTGT